TAAAGTTTGGCCTTGGTTTAAAGTGATGGTGCTTTAGTGACTATAAGTGGACTGTAGTGAGAAATGGAAAGGGATTGGTGGCATCTCACACCTCGCAGGGATTTGTACTCAGTGCCGGAATGTGTTGCTGCTATTGATTCTCGGGTTTGTTTCATTTTACATCTTTTGTAGTCAAAGGCAGTGGCGTAACTACAGGGTGGCAGGGTGGCACGTCGGCCAAATGCCACGGGCCCCCAACTGGAAAGGGCCCCAGTTCAGAGGTTTTCATCTGAACTTTTCTCTTTTTTATTGGGAATGGGGGCCCATCCGATGAATTTGTCAGGTACCCCGAAGGGCATAGTTACGCCACTGGTCGAAAGACTTGATAGAAATATAATAATTAATAATCTATTGTTACTTATCATACTGAAGAAATCTTATTTAAAATATGCGAATTTCAACGTGACCGAGAAATGGGATCAATTGAAACACGGTGTTAACTTTTAAGTCTTGACTTCGAGGGGAACGTTATTTACGTTGTCTTCGGCATCAATTTCCGAAAACCTACCTACTTAATTTCGCATCCATCTTTCCTCGAAGTGAAAACCAGATATCGTAGAAACGTTATGTCATTGATCCCATTTTCCCTGAACAACTTATTTTTTGCATTAGGTATTATTTTCTACGATACGACTTTAAATATTTCTTCTTTCTTTATGTCTTCATATAAAGTAGTGACTGCACGGTTGGCGCGTTGGCTGGGCAACCGGCTGCCGCGCAACGTGCAGCAGGTTCGGTTTCCGCACGGAGCAACTCTTTGTGTGATCCACAAATTGTTGTTTCGGGTCTGGGTGTCATGTGTAAGTGAACTTATAAGTTTGTAAACGCACCCACGACACAGGAGAAAATCCTAATGTGGAACAACGTGTATTTTTTAAACAGTAGTCTCTCTTTTGAATTAATTTATCTTTGCATTAATGTTCTGTTAATTAGTGAGTTGTTTCGATCAAATTCTTTTCCCTCAAGATTTTTCTTTATACCACTGAGCAAGTGTAGACCCTTTTTGTCAGAAGTCAGATCACGTCTTGCTAAAACGTGCTGCTTCAGCAGTTTTTAAGAGCCTTTCTTAGGTACACTTTTTATGACATACGACGGGACTGTAATTTTGCTGAAAAGGTGAAGATATTCCACCTGCATTTTTAACACCACTTTGAGAAAATTATTAACAGTTCTTCTTTGTAAAGCTGCAAAGTTTTAGACCGATTATAGTACACTTTTTTGAACTTATCAGGTTAAATTTACATTGAATAAACTGCAGTACAAGAACCTATACGTCTGTATTCGGACCCTTCACACTCCAACAATGAAATACCATTTGAATTCATGATTACAATTTAAATTTACAAAGAGGAATCAAATCAAACGAAGGCCCAGCCTAAGCAAATGTTGGCACAATCCTAATGGGTTTAAATTGTCCTGAATTGGAGTGTTCCTCGTACATTCGTAATAAATTCTTCACAAAGCTCTTACAAGTACCCCAGTGAGTCTTATGACGTCACATTCATTTCATTTCACTTGTGTAAGTGCTGAGGGTAGCCTTTTGTTACATAATTGCTTTTAAATTAAAGGGTTAAGTACTCTAGAATCCGTGTTTTGTTGCTACAATGAGATGCTTATGTAGGTAGCCTAAATACTTATTCAGGCTAGGTTGTATAGTATGTAATGTACTTGCTTAGAATTTTCTTTGTTGAATAGGTATACTTGTCTACGGCTTATGGTCTGTTTTAATGAGTACTTACTTAGCTGATTTTTAGTGAGAACTAGTAACAAAGAAACTATGCATTCTGAAATGACAGTATTAGTTCTAACCCACTGGTTAGATAGAACTTATTCATACCACTATATGCCACTGTTGGACCATTGGTATACTTGTCGTCTTATGCTCAGTTTCAAGTAACGTCTACTATCTAAGCTGAATTTTGATAAAAATGAGTATAAAGGAAACTGCATTCTGAAATGTCAGCATTAGTTCTAACCAGTAGTAGGCTACTGTTGCGTCATTGGCGTTTCTGTGGCAATAAAAATATTTAAATTTTGAAGTAAAATCTGTAAACAACCTCTAGTAATTACTGTCTGCTTCATACTTTTTTCTTACTATTGAAGTTTACGTAAAGTATTATAACAATAATGCAAGCATGTCAGTATATCCGATGTTTTCACACTTAAATGGGTTTGTTATCACGGATTGAACACGGCTTTTAGCAACACTCGTAACTTTTAGCTTGGCTACAATGTAATAATCAACTGTAAATACTTATGATTATTATTGTTTAATCAATATCAACAATATCAGGATCATCTATCATGAATATCACGTATAATTTTCTTTATTGATTATTAAGATTTTCGGCCCACGCACGTAATTATTTGACGACGAACTCGACTAGTTTCAAGTCATGCTCGAGGCCCATATTCATGAGCAGCAAATGCGACCCGCGACGCGGCGACTGTCGCTACTCGGTCAGTAGCAGTGCGAGCCTCTACCATGGCTTGAAAGTAGTCGAGTTCCTCATCAAATAATTATGTGAGTAAGCCGAAAACATAATAATGAATTTAGTATGTCTCGCGAAAGTTATAACATAAATGATGTTCTTTATTGAAGTGATTATAATTGGCACTGCTGAGTAATATGTCTCGAGATCGAGTCCTAAAATAGATAAAGCTCTGAAAGGCTGTAATTTTATCCGGTGGTTAGCAGTAAACTCACCCAAAATAGCTTTATCTACAGAAGACTCTTATCTATACTCGGTATGTATGAGCTACCTACGAAGTTTAGAAATAAAAAATCTTTATATTAGGTAGGTATCTTAGGTAATGGTTTCTGATCTGGATCTAGAATAGAAATAAAAAACATGTTGAGCTCGAATTTTCTCACAGACCTTTATGACTGCAAAGAATTCTCATTTCTATCTTATTGCTACCAGAGCCAGGGTACAATTTTGCAAAACCAATTTATTTCTTGTTACGTACATTTCTATTAGTTTTGTTCAGTAGCTTTTGTTTTCATTTGTTTATAGAAATAAGGTTTTCCTTCGCGGACGCTTTGGGGTCTCAGCTTCGAGAAAATTAACTCCAACAAAATGGAGACGAGAAAATAATTATTATTTGTATTGTTCTTACATTACTTCATTTCGTACTTTTTCTTCTGTTGGCAATATTCGTTAATATGTAGTTTGATACATGTCTACAAAGTCTGTGGAAATCATTGGCTTCCAAAGCTAAGAAACCGTAGAAGTGCGTCAAATCCGAATAAATCGAGTAGGAAGGAAATTATTCACATAGAAACGTTTGTACGTGTTTCTTACTCGTGATAAATCAAAATAACCAACACTGTCAACTACAGGTCATACCCGCAATGATTTAGCGGAAACTTTCCCACCGTAATATAACATATAACCCGATAATTGCAATCCAAACTATTCTAAACCTTATGTCAATTATATTAAAGTCAGTTTACTGTAACTAGTAGCGGTGCAGAATCGAAGGTCGTTTAGAAGCGGTCACCTTCGTTACGTCATTAGCTCTCAGCTGATTGTCGGCCGATCGTACGTTTCCGGGGGCCGATGTTTGCGGAATTTTGTTTATATACCTCTGTACAGTGGCCAGCAGTTCAATCTATACCATTCTTTGAATTGTTTTCGTTGTATTTTCGACGTTACATGAAAATAATAAAGTTGAAAATGGATTTTAGGAATTTGGTGGAAAGGTGTAGTTTGACCTACTGTCGCCTGAGCCTAGAATTCTATATGGCTTGTATTGAGTATGTGGTCTTTATGTCTATCTATAATTATCTTTCAAGTGTTGAAAGTACATTTTGTGTGGGCGCAGTGCAATGCCCATTGCGGTGCACCGCGGAGCGTTGACTCGATAGTTAAGAAGGAAGTTGTCAATCACGTACTGAACAATGTCAGTTACTGCAACATTGTATTCTGCGAAATTTATTTCGCATTCAGTTAATAAAGGAAAGAGGTATCATGTTGTTCCTTTCTCAGGACTTTATGAGTGATCTTTTCTGATTAAATGTTTGCTAAAAGACTTATAGGTACGTATATAGTTTACAGCGAATAAACGGAATGGATGTAGAAACTTAAAGTCAAATAAAGTATATCTACCGGTTTTTTACGTTCGATGAGCCGCCGTTTGACCACTATTTCGCCGAGTGGTAAGCCATGATGCGATCTACGATGGAGCACGTTCAGTATTAGCAACCCATTCCGATTCAAACATCTTACCATTTAATAGGTGTTTTAATGAACTGACGGATTACGTCTGCTCCTACCAAAATTCAATACCTGAATTAATACACAGTGACAAGCAATCTATTGTAATATAATTGAAGATATTTACAACAAAACGATAAACGATTTCATTATAAAATACGTAAAACACTGCAGGTATTATCATAAAATAGCACTGAGTACCTATCATGTGGCAGTCATTCAGTGCTCCACGCTATTATGGCGAGCGTTATCTACTCATCGATTTTATGATTATTGTCATGTTTACAATACTATTATGTATGTTCTATTGTCATATTTAACTTCAACAACAGTTATTTACGTAGCTATGTATATACATATGTATGTAGAAGGAAATAATAGAAATTTATCACCGTGCTGAATCTTGGCAGCGCGCCAAATAAACGGAAGATTTCCAACTGAAATGAAATATGTTCCGTAATTATTTGGGCACTGGTAGTAAGTAATGGAATGTCTTTTATTTAAAACTGCAGTCAACTAAAATATGTTTTTTTCTTATTTCAATTGAAAATCTTTTGAAAACCAACCTTATGTTGTTTTGCACTACGACTTCCTCATGTATCGTGGGCGCATTTACAAATACTTTGACATATGTACATAACACAGTTGTTACTTTTAAATATCAGGAAGGTCAAGTTACAAACAGCAAGCCATTTCCAACCTTGAACTAGTCATTTAATGTTCAATTTCCATTGTTCACAGGGTATGGCGTTCACAATTGAGGAGCGTCAGACCTTGGGCATCCATGGGCTGCTGCCGGCCAGGGTGAAGAGTCAGGAGGAACAGGTTCAGATGTGCAAGCTGTCCATCGAGCGGTATGAGGACCCCCTCAACAAATACATCTACCTCATGGGACTGTTGGTGAGTTTATTTTGAATTGATATTGTAACCAGGATCTCCAGTCCTTATTGATATTACCTAATGTTCATCGCATCATCAGGTTCGGTGTAAGCTTCTGAAGAAGCTCGGCGTTCTGAGACTAGTATATAAGACAAAAAATCTTCGATTTCAAGTTTAGGCAACACATAAATGTGTCCTTTTCAATTATAAAATCCAAAGTAATAGGTACTATGTTCGCTAGATAGTGACATGAGTTAAGTTTTAAGGTCATTCAACAAAATAGGTCGATGTTTCCAAGTGTACTGTTAATAGTCAGCAGTTTAGCAAAGGAAATTAATTTCCTTTTTTCTTTGAAACACTTATTTAAAAGTTCTCACTTAGGTACTTGAGTTTCGAGTGAAATGTTATTAGGAATACCTTATCAAATAATTTCTATGAAAATATTCACTTAGTTTGTTATGAATAGAAAACATCGTTCCATATTTATTTCGCTGCTTGGTCCGTAATAAATTAGAACGAATCTTTTGATTCACCGGTTCGGAATATTCATGAAGTGTCAGACAAAAGGACTGACAGACGTTATTTCTTGATAATAGGGACAGGGTTATAACAATGAAATATTTTGATTATTTTCGAGTGTATAAGAATTCTGATTTGAATTTCTGAAGACTGAGAATGAAGTGTTTTGTGCTATGAAGTATAACAATACCAACTTACATTATATTGATATATGTACATATATATCACACTGTTCGTTAAAGGGACACCTAATGAATAAGTAGAAGGTACTTTTCATCTTACATTATGGTCCCATAACACTTATATTTATAACTAGCTGTGCCTGCGACTTCGTTCACGTGGAATAGTGACTATGAGCAGCGTTTTTTTTTAAATAATATATACTCACGACGTGATTCTTTAATTTGACATAACTTTTTTATTTATGAACCGATTGACATGAAACAAACACTAAAGTATAACTGAAGCATACCACAATATATTCGTGAAAACCGCATCCAACTCGGATCAGCCGTTTCTGAGATGGGCGTGAACAGACAAACAGACAAAAAAAAGTTAATTACATTTTTGGGTTCGACATCGACATAACAATAACCCCTGCTATTTTTTTTATTTTTATTTTGAATGTACAGACAGCACTTTTCTACAATAACACTTATATTTATAATCACAATTGTCAGCGTCTAGTTTCCATTCAGTGCAATATTTAAATGTCCTAATATGGTCCAATGCAATTTTACCAGTTCTCTATAACCGCAGTGAAGGGATACATAAAGCATAAATCCCGTCAATGCAAGGTTGTACCAGCTGTAGACTTCCTACCCACACATTGATGGACATTATTGCAACATACTTAGTTGACGATTTCAGAGCTTCAATTAATTTTAGGTCGTATTTAACCAAATGTTGAGGTACTATACTGACATGTAGTTCACGTCAATAGGGTAGTTTCCGAAATTTTATTTTAATGTCCATCTGGTACATTAATTTAAACTTTAGACACGTATTTTTTCTTTTCTTACAAAATTAAATACTTTCGACGATATATTAATTTGAAATATCGTGTGACGTCATAGCGTGTCACATTTTGTAGCACGTTATGACGTAACGACCTCCCTTATAACTTAATACGAAAATAAAAAAATACGTGTCTAATATTTTTTCATTATCTAACCGACAGACTAATTAATTTTTTCATTTTGATACCCTGGATGGAAACTACCCAATTATATTCAATCTTAAGATGAACACACATTAAGGTCACATTCGCAATTTCTTAACAACGTCGTTTGTGACATTTTAGATTTTTCATAAAACTATTAATAAATTAGATTCACATAATTAATACCAAATGGCAGTTTTAATTAGAAGTAGTAATTAAACTATCACCTAGGAATTCTAGAAGCTATTTCATAAATTCAATTCTCAGATATTAAATTGTGGGCCGGACAGCCGTGCCACCTACAGACTACAGTGTTCGCACAACTTTGCAACAACTAAACCAATTATAAAGTTTTGCTACACGTTCAACTACGGTAGTTTTGTGCGCTAACTGCCTACGTCACAGACATATGCTTGTTAGGAGCTATTTAACTATTTCCACGTTTTGCTAAAGGCTTTTTAGTGCCGAGGCTCAAGGGTCACTATTGTGTAGACCCTTTTCAAAAATATGACTTTTCTTACAAAATTCATAACTTGAGATTTGTGTAGATATCCCCTTATGATTCATTCGCTTTTCGCAAAATTGTATTAGACTATTTTATTAAGCACGGCGAACAATTCGGCAAAACGTACTTTCTCATAATCTCTCTTCATAATCATCAGAAGCTTCTACTCAACATATAAGGCAATTTGATTTAATTATTAAGATAAATAAGGTCTAATATCAATTAACACATATTCCAGGACCGTAATGAGCACCTGTTCTACCGCTTTGTTGGTGAGAATGTGGCTGACATGATGCCTATCGTGTACACACCTACCGTAGGTCTGGCCTGCCAGAAGTACGGGCTGGTGTACCGACGCCCCAGGGGACTCTTCATCACTATCCACGACAAGGGACACATCTATGATATTCTTAAGAACTGGTGAGCTTCCTTCTTTGAAAAGTTGACAATTCAACATTAACTTATGTAACAGCACTGCGTATCTACTGTAACGATAAAATATAGTTTCTTCTTTTTTGCCATTACAAGTTTGTGTTCTCCGTCCCAAACTCCATTTTATGTCATTCTCCGTCCCAAACTCGATTATATGTCAGGCATCATCTTTTCTTCAAAATTCCGCTTCGGTTTTCTTCAATAATATTTAAAAGGCATTTAGAAAAAAAATCTTGAAGACCAAAGAAGAAATATATTCGGATAGTCAATGTTACCTACTTTGTACTGCCATTAGTAACAATTTGCGATTGTTCCATAATCACCCACTATAACAGATTATTGACATTTCCCTGTTACTTGTAGTATATTTTTAAAGTACCTTGTTTCCATCGCCAGGCCTGAAACGGACGTCCGAGCTATAGTAGTGACAGACGGTGAACGTATCCTGGGTTTGGGAGACTTGGGAGCTTGTGGTATGGGCATCCCGGTCGGCAAGCTCTCCCTATACACCGCCCTCGCAGGCATCAAGCCACACCAGTGCTTACCTATCACTTTGGGTAAGTAGCATTTCTAAGATCCATGCATGGTTATTAGTAAGGTCATCCAATAAAGCGATTTTGTCCAAAACTGATGATTTTGAACGTCTATTGGGTTCGATATGCATTGTATGATGAATCTTAAAAACATTATTATCTGAATTCATGATTTAGATAACGATGGAAGTAGATTGATTGATTAATCAAGAAGTTTGAGCTTAATTTTGGGCTTGACTTAAAGGTTTTTTTTCTATTAGGTGTTCTGAACCAGGTATTATTTTCCATAGTAGTTAGTCGAATTTACAAAATAAATGCTCCAATAGAGATGATAATAAACAACTAGTATGTTTTTATTGTTTATCGTTATTTAGACAATGACTGTAACGTAGGTCTGATAAACTCTAGTATTAGATCATATTATATCGATAATGAATATCTTGTATTAACCTGAACCTACTTTAAAATATAATATTGATATTGTTATTCCAGATGTGGGTACAAACAACCAGACGATGTTGGACGATCCTCTATACATCGGTCTGCGCCAGCGTCGTGTCCGAGGTCCTCAGTACGACGAGTTCATCGACGAGTTCATGGACGCCGTCGTCCGCCGCTACGGACAGAACTGTCTCATACAATTCGAGGACTTTGGCAACGCTAACGCCTTCCGTCTGCTCGAGAAGTACCGTGGCAAGTTAGTATTACAATTTGACATGATTGATATTACGTGTGGGAGAGCCATGCTTCGCCACGAATGGGTCGGCTCGACCGGAGTGATACCACGGCCTCACAGAAAACCGACGTAAAACAACGCTTGTGTTATGTTTCGTCGTGTAAGTGAGGTTACCGGATGCCCAATTACCTACCCCCTCCTTCTCAGTCTCTCCAATCCCCGAATCCCCAACAATCCTCAAATTCCCAATTCCCAAAAGGCATGCCTTGGTGTTCCAGGTGTCCATGGGCGACGCCGATTGCTTACCATCAGGTGATCCGTCTACTCGTTTACCGGCTCATTCCATAAAAAAGTCCCTTATCCCTAGAATGTTCTAAAGAGAGAGGTATCAGATTTCCTCAGAATCAATTTTGATTTTCGTTGTCAGTTTTGTTCTGCGAAAATATTACTCATTAAAGAATGTGTACCGAAGATAATTGTATTTTATAATTATTTTGCTCAGCCAGAGCGGACCGAATTCAAAATAGCAAAAATTATAAAATTTCTGTTCAATTTGTTTTTCTTCTTAAACTAGATTTGTTTCAAAATATTGAGACTACAAAGATTTCAAATGTTCTTGTCTAGATACTGCACGTTCAACGACGACATCCAGGGCACGGCCGCGGTGGCAGTCGCGGGACTGCTGGCCAGTCTCCGCATCACTGGGAAGAAACTCTGCGAGAACACCATCGTCTTCCAGGGCGCTGGAGAGGTATGCTCCTTCTTATATATTTTGTAGTATTACTGTATCATTTTTGATGAACCAAAAGAGGTATGAAGGTAGAAATCGTAGTAATTGGCGTTTCATAGTCTCTGTCTACCGCCATGGGAGACAGGCGTGAAGTTATGTATGTATGTATCATATTTATAGAAAATAAATAGATATAGTCTTCGATGAAGGTCGTATTGGAACTGGGCAGGTCACTTAGGTCGTATAACTGTTATCTGTTGTGGCCAAAAACTTCTCTTGGAGATGTAAATCCTAATTGGCTTAGAATTTCGGTATAATAACGTGTAGTCATTAGATACAAGTGGCAATTATCATTTCTTAACTCTTAACATAGAAACATGGTTTACGTCTTTGGTCTAGTTTAGATAGGTGAAGAAAAATACTGTATTTTACAACTAATCAAATTCAATACTTTTATTGAAACGTCAAAAACGATGTCGTTCTATGAATTTTGTACCAAAAACTAACTTATGACGTCATCATATTTTCGAGTCAAATAGCACACCTATTTTTGAAAAAATTTAAAATTAATCGGAAATTAAATATATTGTCAAATATATGAATGAAATTGTAATTATTTTTAAATATTTAATTGGAAAATCACTCAACATAGCCATATTGAAATACATCGTCGGCCATACACAATACATTCCACACCCAATTTTCAACATTTTAATATTTTTTATAACAATAATTCTTTGTTCTCAGGCATCACTGGGTATCGCGAGTTTGTGCGTGATGGCCATGATTGCTGAGGGTTGTTCAGATGAGAAGGCTCGCTCCCGTATCTGGATGGTGGACTCCAAGGGTCTGATCGTGAAGAACAGGCCCGAGGGAGGTCTCAACGAACATAAGGAGAGGTTCGCCAAGGACCACGCTCCCGTCCGCACTCTAGAAGAGGTCGTCGATGTAGCCAAGCCTTCCGTACTCATTGGTAAGTTGATTAAACGGAACTTTGGAAGGATTTTTTTTAAGGGGGGAAAGCCATCGAATGACTGCTCCCGCCTGGGTGAGGCGGGAGGGAGTGTCAGACTCTTACTGACTAAAAACCACCCCGTTCCTACTCCTGCACTTCGAGCCGGAGCCCCGGTAACCCGTTAGGTTCTCCGCGACTCAACTTTGGAACGATAAATTGGTATATCAGTCTGTTCAGGCTTGAAAAGAAGAAATTATAAAACCATTGCCATCTTTGTTTGGATGGATAATTATCAAAGATCTCCTCCTACCCTGGGTGAGGCGGAGGCGAGAGGGAATGTCAGACCCTTACTGATTATAAATGATCCCGTTCCTTCCTTGCCCCCTGGACGGGGGCATTAATAAAGGGGGCTATTGGCTTGATGCTATGAAAGTTTGAAAGCACTCTGTGCATTGTGGCAGGACTATAAAATGTGTCAATTATAATCTTGTCTTTTTCGATGATAATAAGAACTTAATGATTGAAGTCTGCTTTTCATTAAATTTACTTAAGTGTATGCCATACGCCATAACTTTGGAAGTAAATCATTTTGACCTCTTCTTAATCCTTTTTTTATAATTGACATAATATCATGGTATGGTACAGGTGCCGCGGCCATCGGTGGAGCGTTCACTCCGTCGATCCTGCGCAAGATGGGCGCCATCAACGACCGGCCCGTCATCTTCGCGCTCTCCAACCCCACCAGCAAGGCAGAGTGCACCGCTATTGATGCCTACTCCAACACTGATGTACGTACACACTTTATTTATTTAGTAAAACTTCTATGTACAGTATAAAAGTATAAGTACCATATAGTGGTATCATAACATAACATATCACGCCTTTTATCCCCGAAGGGGTTGGCAGAGGTGCACACAGAAGTAACACCCACTTTTCACTATTTATGTTAAGAGTCCCATGTAATAGGGGGTGAGCCTATTGCCATATACCGTGCACAATTACAGACTCCGTGCTACTACTGAGATTTTTTAATAAACCCAGTAATACTTTGCCCGACCCGGTAATCGAACCCGAGACCCCTTGCCTGGCAGTCGCACTTGCGACCACTCGGCTAACGAGGCAATCTAGAATAGTGGTATCTTAATGCCATAAGGCATTCTTTACCAGTCAACTGTAGGTTCATGTCAACTTTACTTCTGGAAAGACTCTATACGTACCTCTTGTTAGAATTAAATGATTCTTCTTTCCTTTATTCTAACCAAAGTCACGAGTTTCTATTGCACAAAAAACTGGGGAATCTTTACTAAGACACCGTCCTTTATCTCTCACTAATTAATATACCATACCTACAGTTAATTAATCAGAATTTCAAAAAATCTGAAATATTTTAAAGTTTCAACCCCTTCTGTAGACCAAAGAAACATTTTGCAATCAGAAGATGAAAGAAGCGACTCATACTCCATTAGGTAAATGTCCTTTAATACTTGCTGCATAAGCAAGAGTCTCAAATAAAATCTATGTTCTATTTGTACAGGAGCGTGCAATCTTCGCGTCCGGCTCTCCGTTCCCGGAGTACCGTACGAAGTCCGGCCGCATCCTCCGACCCGGACAGGGCAACAACTCGTACATCTTCCCCGGCCTCGCGCTCGGCATCATCTGCGCCGGCATCATCGACATCTCCGAGGACTTCATGCTGCTTGCTGCTGAGGTAGACTTTCCTATTTGTTGTTAAACTACTACTGAATACTTCTTCTTTCAAAGAACTACACTTTAAACTGTCAAACACCGCGAGGACACCGGTGACCGCAACCTATTGTTCTTTAATTGTATTAAAAGACTATGTGCCCGATAGCTTTAAAAGAGGTATAAAGAAATATTGGTTTCAAAATCCAATGCTTAGGTAAATTGGGGATAAGATCCCCAATTTACCTAGTTTAGCTACCAATTTACAGACTTGTAAATGTAGACAAATTGGTAAATTTACCTATTTACCTAATTTAGTTAGGTCACTGAAAGTTTAAAGTTTACTGATATTAGAAACCTCTTATGATGAGCACATAAACTTAGTTTCTGAGAAAACTTGAGAATTACGAAATTAAAATCTAAATTGTAATATTAATTTTTAAAGTTGGGTTAAGTCATTTTAGAAACCAGAAAAGAAATGGGACATTTCCTTAGGAGAAGAAGATAAAATATGGAGTTTCTTACCTAGTTCTTCTTCAAGCGAATCCAAGCGTTGCTTATGATAATTTTAAGTGTCATAGCAAGTATATTAAATCTGGTATTCCCATTATCCAGGCGTTGGCAGAGATCGTCTGCCAGGCGGACTTGGACCAGGGCAGCTTGTACCCACCACTCAAGGACATTCAGGACTGCTCCGTCAAGATCGCCAAGAAGATCGTCGAACACGCTTACCAAACTGGTTAGTACCTGTTCTTGCTATTTATTCTTTAATATTTTTTTTAATTCTGATCTACTCCTTTGTTAAAAAAAGGATTTCTGGTGCAATGAAGGCTTTCAAAGAAGTTTCTAGTCTTTTTTCTAAAGTAGTCAATGGTCTATTCATGTTATCATCGATTTTATCTATATAGGTTCAGGGGTTCTTACGTGTAAGTTATAAAGACGTCAATCAATGCGTCACGTTTTCATTATAACAGTAGAGTTGAGACGCACAAGATTTAAACAATAGAGTTAAAAATAACTTTCGATATAAACATTTGCCCACATTATTTATAGTTTCGTTGTTTATCGATGTTGAAATTGTAGATAACAGTCTTATTTTTTTGTTGCAAGTTCGTTTTGAATTGGTTTAATATATAATAATCTTAATTTAGGCAATTTTAGAAATGAGAACCTTTCTCTTCTATTCGTATTTTTAATAAAACCGTGATAAGTACTTTCCTACTGAAAAAAATCCCCCTTTATTCCCCTATATTAAGATAAATTCGATTAAGAATCCGATGATATAGGTACCTACCACCTAATAGGTAAATTCATAAAATAGGAAAATTAAAATTTCAATGCGGATATACGCAACACTATTCGATTCATTCTAAACAGTTACCAAAAAGTACCTAAGTATACCTACCTATTGTATTCTTAGGTTGTCGATGAATCATACCGCGTTTGTATATCGAGGTTTACGGAAATATCTCATTTTGTAGACCGCAGCGCGTTTAGGCGTGACCTCGGCATTATTACACGTATTTTAAAATTGCTTCAAGTCTGGCCATATCACCATAATATTTATTTCTTTTAGGCGCATAGAGATTTTAACGTGGGTAGTTAAAATTTGTAGTTATGCGTCTCGCTCGTGCGTCATACTGTCGGCAAATTATTTTATTTTTAGCTCGCGTCTCCATTAAATGAATGAAATATGAAGTTAATGTATTAAACGTTTTCTCGAATACCTGCGTGATATTAGTAGACACATTGGAATTGTAGAATGTCTGAGGTATGCCAGGCTAAAAATATAATGATTCGAAGAATAGGTTACTGAACTTAAGAAACCAATTATCGACTAAAACTGATTCGATAATAAGCGAATCTAAAATGTCTATGAAACTGAGTCGATAATTTTATCGTATTTAAGTCCCGTGTCTAAGTCATGCATGGCTAGTACGGCCATCCAATATACATGTTACCTATGCAATCTGTGTTCATACTGAAGCCAGTATGAACAAAATACAAGCGTATTTGCCCATATTCTGACCTTTATAGGCTGAAAATGTATACAGGTGTTAGATTCATCTCTGATTTAATAACTATATTGATAAACATAATCTTTTATTCCACAGGCAAGGCCTCAGTGTTCCCTCAACCAGAGAACACGGAGGAATTCATCCGCGCACAGATGTACGACGTGCGATACGCCGCGGCCGTGCCGCCCGTGTACACGTGGCCGCGCGACGACGTACTGCGCGTCGACATGATCTAAGGAACTACACACAGCGCTTGGACACAGAACAACTCATTTGTACGACGCCATTCTCAATCATAGGTTATTATAGCGAGGATATAATACTGGGTTGCAACGATGCACTACAAAAACATCTCACTTAATTAAATGTAACGAAGCAACGCAAAAGTTTTACTGTTCGACAAGACTAAGTGCGTTGTCGCAGATCTTTGCGGTATATCGTCGCGACGCAGAGTTGTAGCCTCGCCCTAAAGCTGTTATCCCACTATTAGCGATAACTATCGCTTATATCTTAAAAAAATATTGCCTAATAGGCGAGATGTCGCTTCACTAGTTTGTGTCTACTACTACTATTGTGCTTCTCGTTCAACACCAGCAATGGGATAACTGCCTTAGCTCGGACCAATGGAATTAAAAAGTAAGGGACAAAGAGTTGGCAATACACACGCCTCTACTGATATAACGCGTCGAATGTAATGTGTCGTAATATGCTTCGTCTCGAATTTATCGCCAATCGTGTTACTTTGTAAATATCATCATGTCTGCATCGTCCTAGCAGTGGAAGACCCGGTAATATTGTTTACCCATCTCAGTGTAGCGATAAATAAACGTGTAAATCCTGTATGAACGTTATTTAGTGTTTCAATTTTTCGGTTTCAAGCGCTCGCAGTGTTTTCGGAATCTAGCTTCGAATATTTATTTTGTTAAGTCGATCGTATTGATGACCAACGGGCTGTTCTAATGGATTTGTTAAGTGAACTTAACGTATATGGCGGTTTAAGTGACTGAAATTATATTATACGAAATACAAGAGGCATTTATTGTGCCGCCTGATGTTTATATTTATTCGTGGGTCGCGACACGCGCCGCTAACTACCGCGGTACACTCACTACTTACATTAAATTACTTCTACATCGATGTACACAACATTGCGTGTGTGACGACCCTCGCTGTTATTTATTCACCATTCCAAAAGCAACCTTGAAATTAGTTTTATTTTGTACTTAAGTGTTATTTATTAATGAAATTATTGCTTGGTAACTAAGCACGCATATAGCCATCAAGCAGGTTTTGTATTTGTTCATGTAATGTTATTGCAATGTATATTGAGGGCAGTTTGCGGTTATAATATGTACATTAGAATTAGATTAAATTGCATGACGTTCCTTTAAAATTATAGTATAAGTTAAAACTTAAACCATAAATGTACGGTATTTATATGTAAATTTTTGAAATAAATTGATTGTAACATATTGTTGTTGTTTGTTTACAAATTGTTGAATAACAACTTGTTATTAACAAGTACCTACACGTAACTCATTTCATGCCAAAGTTAATTTTAGATTTATTATATGATCAACACGCAATAGTTAATAATTACATATCCACTGTACCTAGTTTCATCTTCATTTTTATCAACAAAATAATACGTAGCTATTGTATAGCAGTGGATTAATGGGATAAATAATAAATTAAATTGCAATTTTGCCCATCGTTAATTTATACGAATAAGAAATAGAATAACAGTTTGAAACTAGAGACCTCCTATTTTTTCTCTCCTCTTTCATAATTCTTTCTCCAAGCTCCAGCATCTATCAACAGCCTCAGTATCTCGTAGTTTTGTTAAACGGCACATCGAGAATAGGGATGATGACAGGGTATGAAAATTAAAAATCTAATTAGTCCGTCACGTAGGTAGCTACGTCGTTTTACAGTATAAATCGTAGGTACTCAAAAGTGACGTTGTGGGATATTTCAAATCAATACATCCTCGAAACTATTCGTTTCCTTGAAAATAAAAAATACGTGTCTAATGTTTTTAAATAATCTACCAGACGGAAAAATGTAAGTAGATGTTATGACGTAGGCATCCGCTAAGAAAGGATTTTGATCATGAATGAAAGTTGTATGAAGCTTGTCGGTTCTAAATTGATCGGGTTGAAACTCGGCATGCAGGTAGATGTTAAGACGTAAACGTCCCCTGAGAAAGGATGTTGATCAATTCCTATAAGATATATTCTTAAGATAGGGGATGAAAATCCATATTAATTAAACTGATGGGGCTGAAACTTTGCATGCATACAAAGCTACTATGACGTATCCATCTCCAAAGAAAGGATTTTGATAAATTCCACCCCTAAGGGGATAATATAGAGTATGACAGTTTGTATAAATCCTCTTAGTCATTGAATCTTTTTGAGCTCGGTGGAACGATAATTTGAGACCTGAGAAAAGATGTATGATAGTTTTCATCACAGAAGTCCCACGGGAACAGGAACTATGCGTTAGACCCCCGGGAGTCTCTATCTCTTAATCAGTGAACTTAAGAGATTCGGTACAACAATTACAATAGTCGTCAATAGTTTTTATCATTGAAACCTTACGGGCACTGCACTGGTGCATATTATATGCATCTATAGTGTAATCTCGGGCAGTATGAACGTAATACTATGTTAAATAATTTAATTGTTTCGTCAGGTTTAGCTTATTATATGGACTTTGTGGAATCTAGAACAAATTTCCGTGCGTTTAGGCGCTTTTGCCGTACCTATTATTGGACACAAGTATAACAGCTCACACATAGGACCCACTAGATTTTAGTCAAATTTCCGTGGTGCTTGGCAACTGGGCTTCACCCAGTTGTACAGTCTCTTTTTTGTGTCTTTAGACTTAATTCACTCTGTCTCCTGCTGTAATTCACCGAGGGAAGTTGAAACTATCATTTTTTTTCTTAATTAATATTTTTTTTCTTTATTAATATCTTCTGATTCACTTCATTGGGGGAACCAAGACAGTTATTCATGTCCCTGGGACGCGTGCCGGATTTCAGTATTCCGGTGTTTTCATGGACATGGTGTTTGTATCTACTGTAGATTCTGGCTTACAGGAGTTGAAGCGGTTTCGGGAGGTTGTGGCGGTCTTGTCCCTTTAAAAAATATTATATGCGGACGAAGTCGCGGGTAACAGCTAGTTGCAGATTTTATAAGTTGGCAGTGGGTGGGACACTCCGAGTTCAGTCAGTTTTCACCCTATTCAACAATCAGCAAGTATATCTGTATTTGGTGGGTTTTAAGGATGTGATGTATAAAGTGATAAAAAAAAAAATACAAGTTAATTCAGACTGACAGTCTTTATTTCGAATAATAGTTACTTTATAAATACAAATTGAGAAGTACCGATTCACAACAAAATATTACCTAGATTACAATGTTCGACAAAATAATTATCACTTATCACTTCATTACAACTGTACAAGTTTACACGGTCGGCGGGCACGTTGCGGCCGCGCCTTTTTGACTATCGCTGTACTGCGGGCCGCCGGGCCGGGCCGGGCCTGGCTGGGCCGGACCTGGCCGGACCGGGTCGGCCCGGATGGCCGGGCCGGGACTCAGACGCCGGCGGCTCGAGCCTCACGGCGCCCGACTGCCGCTCACCTGCTGAGCGAGTGCGATCGTTCGCGGGACCCTGAGCTTTCACCGTTGCATCGCAACCGGTCATTGCCTGTAACGCATACATACCCGTTATTTATATTGTTTCAGGGAAAATGTTTAAGCAATAGCTATATGTAACAATAAGTTGAAAATATATTTTGCAACACTAGCATCATCAAGTTCTCATTTGGAACATAAATTAACAATATTACATTTATCATGCAAGCATACTATAAAGATATCAGTTATTAAAAAAAGTAATTTTTGATGGCATAAATAAGCCAAAATGGTGATGTATTGTCCAATTAATTAAGTTTATAAATTAATTATTAGAACTTCATGATACGAATGCAACAGTGTATGAAACTACGTAACAGTGTAAGAACGTCTATTACTCGTATATAATTAGGTTTACATAACAGCTTATGCAGTTTCATACGTACTGCTATATTAAGTTCGAATGCGACGAAGTGAGCAGCACGGTATAATCAACGAATGGCTTGATTGCCGGTTTCAAATACAAGTAAATAATAAATCAACAGAGCAGGTTAAGACGAGAACAAAATATGAATAAAGTAAGCGAAAGAAATCAACGACACACTAACAGCACAATGTAAAACCAATTAATGATAACGTCATGTCGCAACATGTGTTTCATTAAATATAATACAGAAAAAGCTTTAATAGGTAAGCATCTAACGACAAATAGGCCTGACCTAAGGAATGATGGCCTTGTAAACTGGTGTCCTATAACAAAAGATCACTTGTCACAAGTTACAGCTTTATAAGTTACGAAACATTCATATAAGTTTCCTTAAAAAATATATATATATTTTTATTTTCTAATATATTACACAGAATATTTCCTTTGTATTGACAAAGGACAGATATTCTTATAACACCATACATAACATGTTGATATGTAAATGTCTGTGTTTATCCAAACGGGTACTATTGCAAGGATCTTGTTATTTTCCTGTTTAAAATGAATTGTTGTTTATTACCGTGTGTCTATATAGGAGTTAAATGTACAATGTGCACTCACCGAGCCTCTGGTGCTGTGGGAGTTTGTTGAAGAAGGGATGCTTGAGTGCCTCCCGCAGCGTGATGCGCTGTGACGGCTCGTACTCCAGCATGCGCGCGATGAGGTCGAACAACTGCCGCGACTCCTCGCTGTTACTCTGCAGGTACCTCTGTACACAACACATCACACATGTATTAGATTTTAAGTTGCATACATAGATTATTGCATCTTGCATTGCAATCATTGTTAATAAACAAATTTCTTGTGTTTATCTTGTTGTCAAATATGGATTTTTATTAGTAATTCAATCAACGCGTCGTGAGTAGAAATCGATTGAAGTGGTAACGCAAATGCTACTTTCTCGTAATTGTTAACATATTTACGTTTATAACGTGTATTTATTTATAAAGTAACGATGGATAATAAAACAGTGCTAGTTAGGTTGCAACTGCTATTTGCGGTTCTACTCACCATTAGTGGTTTACAGTTTTCTCTGACGTATCTGCCAGCTGACGATTTCTCGTCCCAGTCTAATTTTCCGTGGTAGAAGTATTTTGTTTTTGTTTTGCGCGCCATTCTGAAACGACACAAATAAGAAAATTAAAATTAGTGTAATGTGGGGCCGGTATGCGACAATGATAATTAGCCTGGTTTTGAAAAAGCAGACAAGTATTTATATCACGCGGTACTTATGTGTACGGAACAAATCGGTGTGTTTATTTAAGCCGTTCGGCTTGCCGACTATAAGTACTTAGCTCGCAGAGTTGGGTAAAGTGGAGCGGTGCGCGAGTAAACAAAGACATCAGAACATTTACAGCGCCAGTGTAAACACACCAATATAACCAACATACGTTAGGTTTTTAGAATGCAGACACATTGGCGGGTTCTGGAATTTATAGACGATATAATAACGCAAACGATGCTAAATTAAGATTCATAGAATGTGAAACGATTAAAATTATTGTCTAGACATGATGTCTGGTGTATAATATACAATAATATTACATGATATGGCACATACCTGTATGGTATAGGTCCTAAGATTCTCTCCATCATGGCGAGATGTTCTCTGTTGTCATGTGTCTGGAAGAGTGTGATACCGAGGTACAGCTCGAACATGATGCAGCCGATAGACCAGACATCGCATGGCTGTGACCATCCCAGTTCTGGAAAAGATGGATTTTCTGTTATAATAATAAGCCTACGACGTTGTTTTACATGTCTCAGAATCTCTTTCTGTTCGTCTTTATTTTCTCTTGGGTAAATTATTAGAATAAATACGCTAAAGTCATAACACTAAAACTAACAATTTAATTCAAGCTTTCAAACAAGTTTGTTATAACAAGTAATCAGCGAAAAGTGTTTGTACAATAATCAAAACAAGATCTAACTATCCATTTAATCATGGTAGTAAGTCAACTATTTTATTGTCATTATTTTCAAGTGCTGTTGCGTTTTTGTGAGCAGAGGTGGAATTTATTCTAATACTTGAGTGTGATGCTTGAAGGTGCAAAACAGAATAGAATAAGGATCAGATGCAAACATCTCCTGTGAGGAAGGCCACTTAACGAATTTATCATAGTTGTGTGAAACAAGAATATTCTTGTTTAATACAACACTAGTAATTCTCTAAGGAGGGCCTTAGAAAATTACATACATGTTTTATTATGGTTTCCACAGTAAGCAAGATCGATATCATACCTAATATGACTTCAGGCGCCCTGTAGTGCCTGGTGGACACGATGGTACTGTGGTGTTCGTGGTCAAAGGTGGCGCTACCGAAGTCTATGAGTCGCACGTCACTCCGCTTCACACGCATTAGATCGTGTTTCTGTAAACAAATTACAAAAATGTCAGGTGCCTATGTATTTATGTATGTACGTTATAGAATGGAATATAACCAATTCCTTGTATATTTTAGTTTTAAATGCACTCGTATCTTAGTATTAGGTAATACAATCATCTAAAATCTGTAACAGTGGAGATTCTCGTGAAAATGACGAAAATAGCGAGTGTTCTATATTGAGGAGCGATTAGTCATTACTTGGCCATCACACGTGGTGTACTGATTCAACGCTATACCTAACTACAAAGTACAAGTCTGCAACGACTGCTACTGAACAGTTCGATTTGTGAGATCGTTAACATTTTTCGTGTTTCCTACAAACATCGAACGCATTTATTTATTGCATTGTTATATGGAATCCGGCCGAATGTTCTATGATTGTATTATACATAAATATAAAAGTAAATGCGTCAGCGGAACTCTGCCAACTGCCAAAAATGTTTAACATACTTGTTGATGGGCGATAGACTAGTGAACTTTGTTCGTCATCATCACTGTGTTTTTCAAGTGGGTAATTGCCTTTTGCACAATGTATTGTGCGATTATTTACTAAATTTAGCTTTTTTAGAGTACAAAGACTTGGTTATATGTATAATGGATGTAGAGTTTGTACCTTTTTGGAGGCGTTGTAAACGCTGACGACTTCGTAGTCGCTGTCGACGAAGAGAATGTTCTCTGGTTTGAGATCAGTGTGCGTGAGTTTGTTGTCATGTAGGAACAGCACGCTGTATATGAGCTGGTACGCGATGTGCCGGACTTGCTCTAGCGGGTACGGCTGGTAGTTATTGTCTTTCTGTAAATACATAAAACATTCATATTAATATTAAGTTTATATAATAAAACATCTTGAAGTTACTAGGGGAGGCCTATGTTCGGCAGTACACGTCTTGTGGCTGATTTGATGATATTAAAATATCTTGCCTAGTACTTTCGTATTTCGTTAGGTAGTTACGAAGACTCAAGTGTTCAAGTAAATTGATTTTGCTGATTTAGCTACGCTTATTAAATTAATTAACTAAATTGAATTATAGGCTAATGTAAAATATTTTCTTTTAAACTGTCAAACACCAAGCGGTCACCGGTGACCGCGACCTATTGTTCTTTAATTGTGTCTATAAAACCGGTACTCGACGAGTTAATAGAATCCCAAAGTAAATTGATGACATTGCGATAATGTCAGGACGTGTCAACTGCGTGAATGAGACTGGCTCAGGACCAAAAACTATGACGTAAGCGGGAAATGCAGTATATACGACTGTGAGTGAGAATGGACGCAGCCAAACGTAAATCCGATTTCATATTTATGAAATGGGAACTATTTAAACGATTTTATGGAACGACAGCACTCAAAACCAGTTATGGATCGATTTGAAGTCAATATAAAAACACAGTTTACCTTATAGCAACTAAGTCAACAAAGAGGCAGTGAGTGGTAAGGAAAACCAAATTATTGCTATAATTAGTCCAATATGTCATTGTAATACCAGGACAAAGAATTCACATGTCAATGGTTTCCCCGAGGATTTAGGTTGTTTTTTTAACGTGATCATATTACAGCTTTAATTGGTTGTCATGTCAACAGTTTATCATAGTTTATATGAGAACCAATGAATTTTTGATTAAATTATCTCTTTACCCAATGTTAGTGGAAATTGTCAAAATCAACGACTCAACCTCGGTGGATAATTAATTGCGTACAATGTAAAAACCCCGCATGTTGGAGAACCATTAGCATTGACGATATTACTTGTTTATAATATGAGTGACGAGTGTGCTAGCGTACAGTTACATGCACAACATAACTAAAGATAATAATAACTTGACACTCACCAGGAAGTCAAATACACTCTGGCCGAGCATTTCAAATGCGATGCACATGTGTCCGTGGTACTCGAACCAGTCCAACATCTTAACACATAAGCTGAAATAGAACAAAACAGTGTTTAAGCAAAACTTTCCACTTCGCACTAAAAATAAAGGTTTTTGTCTTATATAACCTTTACAAAGTGTCGTCATACAATGAATTACATGGAATCAAATAATATGTGGAGCCGGCGTAGCGGGCAGACGGTATTTTTGTGTGTTAGGAGTTGACATCGGGGTTCTTCGTTGGCGAGTCGCCAGCCAGGAGCAGTAACGTCGCATATAAACGTGCAAGGTCAAATATTGCTACATTCGCCGGCGTCGCGCGTCGCCCGCTCCAGCCTCGACTATTATCAACACGTGACGTTGTGCACAATAATAACACATCATAATATCAAACACTCACTTTTTACAATCAGGGTCAACTTCAGCTAACTTTTCTAATACATTTATCTCGAGTTTTGCAGCCTCTCTGTACTTCTCGACATTCTTGATTATCTTCAAAGCCATTCTGTGCTCCCTGAAATGTATAATTAGACATGCTTTATTTCTGGATATAAAACTTGGAATTTTGGCAATAAGTATTAAAAATTGTCGGTGTTACTATAAACAAATGGAAATAGAAATGAATAACTAGCGAGGCGTGTCCTGCCAAACAATGCGTGTCATCATCCGGCGCCGATGTGAACGACACCACATCACCTTACTATCAGAGAACTAGCTATTCTATTATTCAACAACTGATCCTTCAAACAGATATAAAATGTTTGCTTCACGTTTTGTAAGTAACAAACAACACAAAAAATGGTTCACGTTTTAATACAGACTACAAAGCGATATGCAAATATAGTGAGAAACTTACACATTTCACCATGAGTCACAAGTACAGCGTGGTAGTGATACTATCATATGAGTTACAAAAAGTACTAGTAATGTATAAAGAAAGGTACTCACAATTCCAAATCCTTCACCTCGACCACCTTGCCGAAGGTGCCCTCACCGAGCGTATCGATGATTTTGTCTGCAATAAAACCAAGGCAACATAATTAATCAAATGTACTCGGCACAAAGTCATGATGGAATCGACATTGGTATTCCATTCACTATATGTACACTGATACACGTTCGCAGACTCTGAGAATTATGATGTCAATTCTTGAGAACATCAACTACTTCAGTATCAGGAAATTACAAATAGTTACAGGGAACCAACGTACGAGGCTCCAACATGACTCATTTCACATCCAAATGGATTCTGTAATCTTGTTTAGTTTTATCAAAAAGTATAAAAATACAATTAAAAAGCAGAAAAATTTAAGTCTGAAATCTTCAAAACACGAATCACTGACTGCGAGGACTTGGCGGTGGTTAATGTGTGAGAAAACTCGTTTCTTGTTCAATTTTCAGCCATCTGTCGTGTAGTGTTATGTTTTTGTGAGTCACATGTAACTAGTATGAGTTCTAGTTATTTTGAAAGTGTAATGAATGTTTCATTTGTTTGTTTGTGTCTGTATGTATGTATGTATGGTGTTTTGTTTGTATGTGTCATGTTTGAAAGTTGTATTTATGTAGGTGGTTTTTGTTTGTTTCTGTGTGTGTGTGTGCGTGTGTGTGTGTGTGTGTGTGTGTGTGTGTGTATGCATGAGTATAAAGTTGTTTAAGTTATGGGTGTGGACACGAACATCTCGCTCCCATGACATATCCGGGCCAGTAGACCAGATGTCCGTCCTTGTCGTCCTTGACGGAGGAGCGTGCCCGGGAGCTCTGCATGCGCCAGCGCCGCGCCGCCGCACGAGGTCACCGCCGAGCCGCACAAGCCGCCGAGCCGCGCCGCGCAGACATCACGCCACACCAGCACAAGCCCGCCAAGCACGGAGAGCGCGCCACACGATCCGCACGACCCGAGTAGTGTTGTACCCAACAATCAGACAATGGAACGGTTGCCCGTCAGACAAGCGACAATTGGTATGGTGTGTCGGAGGCATGCTGTTAGAGGGCGGACGGGTGGGCGCAGCGGGGCCGAGCCGGCCGAGCACCGCGCGGCCGGGGAGGGGACGGGACGTTCCGGGATTGGGATATACCACACCACTCGCATTCCGATCACTAGCACAATCTACATCCACACAGGTCATTTAGGATAAATGTCCACCCGAACCTCTTAACTAACAATTATTTCATGTAACACATTACTATATGGGAAACAGAACTAACGCAATTTCTTTTCATTTTTGTTTTTCCAAATATTTTAACACACAAAAGACACATGTTAGCTTTTAAACCACGCACAAAGAAATTTAGGACATGCACTATCATTGTTCTTATTAGTTGTTTCTGTATAACTCAACTGCCATGTGAATTAGTTGCTCGCGCTAAGCTTTTATAAGATACCCTCATAGGACTGATTTTATCTTGAACTTTTGTTCTTTACGGTACGATAATCATAAACAGAGTGAAACACATGCATCAACAATGTTTATATAAAAATATGTCAACTGTTTTTGTTTTGTTATTTTAAAATAGATATAGGTACGCCTTTTTTTATGTAAATAGTGAATATTACCGGTAGGTATACTTTTATGTAAATAGTGAATAAATGTGGAAAACCACGGACCAGGTATATGTTAGCGGCACACAGTGCGCAGGCGATGTGTTAGCTTGTGCTTACAGGCGGCGTGGCCGCGTGCCGCATCAGATGGCGAGGCCGCTGCGGCCGCTGCCTGGCGCGCAGCTCGGGCGGCAGCACCACTATATCCCCAACAGCTAACGGCTCAACCTTCTTTGGAGCAGCTATTCCGTTCGTTTTCTCGTTAATCTGCTTTTCACCGATACGTCCGTACATCTCATCTACGTGTGCATACTTCATGATGAGCCCCTGTATCTCTTTCCGCCTAGTTTCTCGCTCACTGAGTACCCTGTCTCCTACCGGGGTCTTGTCGTCGTCTTCATCACTCGATGGAAAATATATTTGCTTTTGTCGTCCCACCTCTCTAGCGGGAGACGCTGCAGGAGTTTTTGTTACTTTTGATTTTCCAAAAGTGTCGTTTATGCTTTGCTGAGGAGGTGATACTAAATCTCTAACAGCAGGGTTTATGTTTATATCTATTGGACGCAATGATAGTTTTCCCATTTTTCTATCGTTGTTTTCGCTTTTTTCAGCTCTTAGTGATCTTCTTTGATGTCTTCGATATACACTATCTCTGTCTTTACCATAATGTCGATCTTTTAATGGAATGTCAAATCCATTTTTGTAATCATCCTTTTGTTTATGACTAGAAGACAATCGTCTGTCCACGGTATTTCTAAAAGGAGTCTTATCTCTAATTTTTTCATGAGAATAATTATTTCTTTTAAATGAATTTTCCCCAAAAACTGCTGTCGTAAGACTCCTCATCAGTCCTCGAGATAATGTCGGTTCAGGTTCTAATGTCTTATCACGGTCTTCCTTTTCTTTCCTTGCCCTTTCTTTTTTCTGTACCGCTATCCTATCTAAAACAGAGGAATACTTGTCTTCCAATCTACTACGCGTGCTACCTAACAAAATGCCATCAATGTTATTGTTGGCCTCTTTCAATGGATACCGCTTGGTGAACGGTGATGATTTATCCTTCAAATGAGCTCTGCGGAACGAGTCAGTGCGGCCGAGCGCGCTAATCCCGGAGGTAGAATGCAAAGGTGATGTGTCGACGCGCGACTTGGTCGCGCCCAGGTAACTCGAGTACGTACGGTCATCGTTCAACTTCCGCGCTGGCGCACCGGACGTCAAAGATGTGTATGGTGAGATGTGGCCATTGTTCTCGTACCGTCGCACATTCGATAATGCGGAATTTTTGTTTGAAATAAGCTTTTCGTCGAAACGCGGTCGCGAAGTGCTAAGTTTCGTGTCTGAAATAATTTCACTTTTCTCCGATGGTCCACGACGAGTTAAACGATTGATAAAACTGGAGTAACCGTCTGATAGTAGCTGTGTGACGCTCGTGGTGGAAGATCTATTATAACGTTGACGACGAGGACTAGTCGTGGCACTAGTACTGGTGCTCAAACTGGCCATTATGTTGTTTTTACGGTTTTAGTGGAAACACTTTAGCCTGGATATATCACATAATAGTCCAAAATAGTCATATTTACACGACAGAACCGTTAACACGACACATTGATATATTCCCGCGTCTTTCTTTTTTACACGACCACTTCTTCGCCACCGGACATCAGACTGGGTCTATCTCGAGATCGAGAGCGTACCTAAGCGCGAACGAATTTCAGAAAGATCACTAGCGCAACCGAGTGCGGCCGCCGGTGCCAAGTAATCGTCGTGCACTAAAAATATCGGCAACCCGTGGGAGCGCCCTCCCGCGCACTCCGAGGTGCCCGCCGCGAACACATTTCTTCGCATTACACTTTACTACGTTTTTTCGTATGATTGAAATGTAGATTTCATGCCTATTCTGCGAATTTCTATTATCGGAGTACATAGTAGCCAAAGGTTAATGACCCATTTTAATGACACCTAGGTTCTGTTTAGTTCCTCATCACGTCACTGTTTTGGCAAGGAAATAATTTTCTTCAATATAGTTACAAAATTTTATAGCTATAGGTTTGAAAAGAAATGGCATCATTGTTTCGTAGATGCACACCTTTCTCTGAACGGTGAGCAGCGGAGCCAAGACAGTTCTGTCAATAAGCTGTAGGTAATCAGGTCAGTGGAGCGCGTGTGAGCTGTGAACAATGCCGGCGGTGGCCGAGTCTGACGCGGGCAAGCCTCAACACAGCGCGTGCGCAGCGAACACGCAGTGTTATCTTATACACGCATCATTGGGCCTAACCCCATAACTTGTATTTCTAGTAATTATCAAATCAACGTGTCAAACCATGTTTTATCTATTGAGAATGAATACGCGATGAGCGGATGCGGGCTACCGGACTTGAGATGATAAACTAACGCTCCACGATCCATCTACGTGCGCTCTCACGCTTATCATTGTGTTAAACATATCTGTCCCCATCCGCGTTCTCTAATAAGTCGGTATTAAACTGTAGTAGTATTAAAACCTTGATTGATTCCGGAATGTTCCAAGAATTATCTATTATATTTATTTGAATAAATTATCTATTATATATATAAATGCAGCCCGTTTCCCGTTATCACGCCATAACTTGAGAACGGCTAGACCGATGTGGCTGATTCTTTTTTGTGTTTATTATTGTCAGGAGAAGGTTCTTACGACAGAAAAATCCTGAAAATCCTGCGGGAACGGGAGAAAACGGGACTGCGCGTACGAAGAAGCTAGTTATCAATAAATATCACGACATTACACAATTTGATCTTTATTATTTCTCTGAAACACTGGTTGAAGTTAACAGATTTTAAAATACGTAGTTGCTATACAACACAGTAACGTTGTCATTTTAAGTCAACACAAAATTGTATTGCATTCTCGTAAAATAGCTCACTCGCAGTTACCAAAGCATAAGTACATTAGCCCACTGCGTGGCAATTTTCTACTTTCACTTGGCGAGTAAACATTTTTCAACACTATTAGACGGCGTCGTTACAAACTACCGTATTGTTTTTAATTACTGATCAATATCTGTCACTTTTCTAACTCGATGCATGTATTTCACTACAATTTATTGACGTTCTACATCGGAAACTTTATTTTGAAGAAACATACCAGTGGGCAATCCTGTTCGTCTATTAGCTCCGGATAATTGAATTTTATGATTTTTTCCAAGACACTTAGCAAACAAAACGTTTTCATTTTGAGAACGGTCAGATAGGTCGTGGTCACTAATAACAACACTGATGCAATACGTTCACAAGTAGCAAAGTTATCGTCACTTTTGTTCATGATAACTACCGCATGGGAATTATTAGTTAACATTGCACATCGAAGCCACGTTAAGGACTGAATGTTGTTCAAAAAGCCGAACAGCTGTTTTGCTCGTTTGTTGTTAGGGTGCAGGTAAAAGGAACTCTAAAGGGTCGACCGTCCTATTATCGCATCCTATTATTAGAGGGGCCAAGCAAAGCAAAGCATTTTTGAATTTGTATATATAACGGTCACATTTGCAGCTGTATTATGTAATTTTGGTGAGTAATACATATGAATAGTTAGTTGATTGTACCTATGAGCAGTTCATTAGCCTAAAATATAACATCTCCGTAAATATGATAACACTTGTTTAAATAATATTAAAGAGACATGTGAATGTTACTTGAATGTGAATGGTTTGTTATTTATTTATTAGACGTTATACACATTAGTTGCGAGGACCTATTTCATTAATTGTAATGCATTTTATATTACAAAATAACAATGGAATTATTTGTATTACATATTTTGTATAAGCGGAATTTTATTTTTGTTTACCTAGTGTGATTGAACTTTATATATAGGTATATAATGTTATAATTACAATTTACGTTAAATCTGAACAGTATAAGAATATTTAAGTAGGACGCACAACAATTCTAAGTACATCAAGCCGTTGTTTATATGACTGACCTTGCCCGCTAGTCGACTACAAGCTCCGTCTACATCGAAAAGGATTTCTGCGACCACAGAAAGTAATTTCGAGACATCATGCCATTTGCATCCGTGCTCCTTGAGAAACTTCTTGTAAAGCTCATAGAAAGAGCCGAAGCGTAAGGGGAGACGCGCACGGTCTTGTTTCAATGACAATTCAGCCATTGTGCACTTCACTGCACTGCACTGCACTGTGTCTAGTGAGCACTGTTTAGTTTACAACACGAGCGACGGAGCCGCCGGCGTCGTGGGGCGGGTGGCCAACCGGCCGGTTATTACACAACTGGGTAGCGCGCTGCGATACCACTACACGTCTCACTTAACTTCGCGGACGACACAGATGACACAATCAAAAAGATAACCCAACTCAAATATTGTACTAAAACGATGTAAAACAACTTGTTTAATGTGTACTTCGTTCAGCGACTGCGACTTGACTGTGCGAGGACCACTATTCCATGGCGTTTAATTAAAGATGGCATGCACAAATGGAGCAAACAATTTCAAGCGTTTTCGTATCGGTTTAAACAGGATTGATCCGCGTCCCACTCGTTAACATTGTTGTCGATCCGACGACAAAATATTAAGGGAATTTTTGGAATGTGCTATAACAAACACACTGGTTTCACTCACTAAATGAACCTAAATACTTTCTTATTTCTAATTGTTTTGTACTATTTTGGCAATGCCCTTTATCTTTATTTAATTTTTTTTTATAACAAAATAATAAGCGCGTAATTCAGTTGATACGCAATTTAAATAAAGATTTTCCGTTTGACGCAGCGACTGAGTGGCCAGACTGCTAATCAACGTGATGCTGGTTGGAATCCTATGGGATTTTACAAGTTTGGGTGTGGCAAGTGTGTGAAATAAGATTTTGTAAATGCACTTCTACCCAGGAGAAAAGCTACGTACAAAATACGATATAATATGTTTAAGTACGTATTGTTGGGTGTAGGAATTTACAATATTGGTATTCACAACGTCAGCAAACGAGTATTTTAACGATTTGGAAGTATTTTAATTAATCAAGTATGTCGCCAATAATTTATAATTAAAATATAAATGTGAGCTATTTTCAGCAAGTAGAAACAAATGAAAATTTGAGCAAAACAATACAATTTGTTTAAACTATCTAATATTATAAATATCTAATGCCAAAACGAAGTAGGAAAAGCAAAACTGAAAATGGTATCCAGAGGAGGATCAGCGACACCAGGGAGGACGGGTGGGTGCTAGCAACCGCATGTGATATTTGGCGAAGCAAAGCCGTGCACTTGACGTGTAGTGGTGCCGCAACCTGAACGATATGGGCAAGGTCGACCGGAAGGAATCGGGCATTACAAAATAGATAGGTGTGCAAAACAACGGGCGTACCACATTTATCAGGCCATATCTTGCCCGTTGTGGCCAACACGCCACGGCCTATTGTATTAATGATACGCGATAGCATATTCTCTCACTACCTTAACTTATGAACTTGACCCCTAACAACCATTAAGCGTTAAGTACTTAGGTACTTATAACATAGTGAAACTATTAAAATCCAATTTAATTAACGATCTCTCTTAATAACGTACTAATCTCATTGAATATAGTATTGTAATTCTATTAACAGTATTGTTTTCTAGTAAAATGTAATTAAAGAGCTTGCGTGTAATGTAAATTTCATCTACGTCTATTACTGTTTTAGTTCTCCCAGATGAGATGTAATATGTTATGAGCAAATGTTATTGCATTCTTATCAGTTTTGCGTAAATAATCTGAAGGGTAAACCTTTCAATGTTACATCTTTCTATATTTTCTAGATGATGCGATCGTAGGAATTATAGATACGCATTATAATACGTGAGTTTATAATTTTAATACAATTCAGTTGTAGCAATATTATAGAATTTTTCCTTTTCCGGGTATCATGATGGTGGATTAATAAACATCGCACACAAATCACACAATAGTTTTACTTTATGAGAAAACCATGTGTACGTTTTATTACTACATTTTCCACTACAACGATCACATCTGCATCGATCCGGATACAACAAGCTACAATTTAGTTTTGGTTTCTCAATTCAATACAATTGACGAGCACGCCTCTTGATGAGCATTCATTAGGCAAACGTATCAAGAATGAGTCCGCAACGATTTCCACTAACTCTTTATTGTCAAACTACAACTCTGTAGTATCTTACTGTTTATTATTTTAATATGAATAGGTATTCAAAAAGTACGTATAGGTACGTACCTATACGTACTTTTTACAGTACGTACTGTTAGAGTGGGAATTGGAGATTTTTTGGTCGTTCTTCTCCATCTACACTATGGAATGAGCAACTAGCTTCACTTTTAAATTTTTTTGTTGTTGACTTTCAAAAGTGCCTTCCTGGTCTTATTGAAATAAATGATTTTGACTTTGACTTAGATTGTCACAATTATGTGTTTTTTTTACGAAATTGAAACCAATTAATGTTAATTTAACATTTACAGGTTTAAAAGCAAATGCGAAGGAAGAAAACATTTTGTTCTCAGTTGCAAATCAATCAAATCAAAGGACAAAAAATGTTTTGTTTTTTTTTTTAGTTTACTTATCTGTAGTAATTGGGGCACTATGAAAACTTATCTGTAGTAATTGAGGCACTATGAAAACAAATGTAAGCTTGAAAAAATAATTTTATGCTTTTGAAATAGGGACGAATATCTAATGTATTGAGTGTTATCACTGTAGAGATATAGATGCATGACGGCTCTCTCCTAGGTGAAGGTGATCATCGAGTGACTATTTCTGTGCGCATGCGTCGTTCATGTTTTCTGTGTGAGAACAACAACTCGCAACGCCATCTATCGATCGCTTTTGAATCTCATAGATCGTGCCAGCTGCTGATACTATTTTAGAACATCATACAACGTTGTTTATTAGACATTGGTACATAAAAATCATTATTGTTATATTCTATTAAAGTTAAGAATATACACATTCATAGATGAAATTATGTTGTTAATGTCTGTTTTATTTTGAACTAAGGAATGTGTATCCATGCAAAAAGTGACGTTTCAGTATTGAAATAAATATATATGAACTATGAAAATTGCGTACACACTGTACAGCAAAAGCAGAGGTTAAATACAGCACAAACGTTATTAAAGCTAAGAGGAAGTCCTTTGGTTCGGTTTTTAAACATATTTAACAGCGTTCCGAGGATAGTGATAAATTAAATCCTTGACCTAATAATATATGCTAAAATAGATGCACATTGCTCTCAATACACGCGCGCTGGCAGCGCGTGGCGCAGTTACTTTTCATACAACATTTTAATTTAACATCAAGTAAAATAATGTTTGAGACTTGTTAAAGTATAAGATATGTTGGCTGACCTCTACTTCTTTGGACTGTTTCTCCGGTTTGAGCTGTGAGCTTTGAACAGGTTGTTGTGGTACGAAGGAGCACGAAGGCTGGGGCTCCACTGCTGGTTGCTGTGATTTCCCGGGCGGCTGCGAGGCAACTTTGGGGCTCTTCTGCAAATCTGTCACAGCGCCTTCTGCGTTCTGGACACGTATCTGAGGCGGATGCACCACATTTGTTTGAGTACCACTAGCTTGCGGTCTTGGCGCCAACCACGACGTGGGCACCGCGGGTGGAACAACAGGAGGTTGTTGTTTTATTTTCAAGGCATGCTCATTAGTATTATGGTCATTGACACACGGTTCTGGTAATTGTTGACTCGTTTTATTACACTGTGATGTGTCTATTGGTTTTATTGTTTCTGATTCATGGCCCAGTGCTACTTTCTTATTTGATTCTAAATTTTGCAAGTTTTTTTCTACATTTACTGTGGCTTTTGTGGGCTCATTTATTGATTCTTTATTTATTACAGGAGGTATTTGCGTTGGAGGTTGTTCGTAAAATGGAATGGATGGCAATTGACTTAGAGGTAAATTCGAAGTAGCAACAGTAGTAGTAGCTATAACTGCAGCATTAGTTACATTTTGACTTTCTACAGTAGCCACAGCATTACTTAATTTGGGCAATTCTGGAACCGTCGGTGAAACTTCTTCTCTACTTTGGGAAAAATCATTACTATCACAAGAAAGTTCTTCGAGACTTTGTACTAAATCAAGTGCAGATGCTTCATGATAATCTGTTGAACACGGCGATGTATCATCACTGGTGTCATCAGTATCACCGGGTCTCTGTGAACTTTTACTACTAGGAACAAAAGCTAAACTAGACGTGACGTCGTTTGAAATGTCTGCATTTAAAGATTCCTCACTTTGTGTTGATTCTCTATTAGCAGAAGAATCAATGACACTAACTTTTTCTTCTTCACTAACTACATTGCTCACTATGACATTTGACACTGGAATATCATTATTGTGCGTGTTAGCTTCATCGTTGTTATTTTTGTCACTTTTTTCATTAGCACTAGTCTGACTTGAGTTTTCTGGTTTACAAACGTTGCTCTCTATGTTTTGTAATTTCGCCTCCTCCACTACAGGTAAACTCATATATTGCGGTATGGCATAGTCTAGATCAGTTAAGGGTGTATAATGAACACCTTCCCCTGTCAAAGGTGCTTCATAATTAGGAGCATAATATTCAAAAGCAGCATTTTCGTTGCAATAAACGGACCAAGGATCGTTTGAAGGAATTAGAGGTAGACCATCATAGTACAGCTCAGGATTCAATTCTCTATCTATTAGATATTCAGGTTTGTAATCCCAAGTAGGGACAAATGAATCTTCAAAAGCTAAATAGTTATCAGGTAGCATCACCATAGCTGGATTGAACTGATTGGGATCCAGTGCATACGAACCATCATAGAAAGGGTTGTTGAGCACAAGAGGGGGTGGTTGCATAGGTGTGCATTCCATAGTTACTTCGGCAAACAATCCATACTTGGATAAATCAGGTTCAGATCTTCTATGCCGGAATGCGCGAGAGTCGATTTCGTGAGCGATATTTGCAGCGTAAATTTCAGAAACGTCAAAACTATGTGTTCTTCGCAAATAGCTTTCAGGTGGCAACTGGTATTCAATGTTTTGATCTTTTTCTATAGTTCTACTTGATCATCGTACAAATCTTCACAAGTGGGCACACCCACATTGTTTATTTCGTGTAAAGCATCGGCTTCGTTTGTTTGGCTGGTAATACTGGATGCAACTTGGAGATCGCCGTTGCTGCATGCAGTATCACTGGGTAGTAGTAACACGTGCGGAAGGGCAGGTGGAGGACTGCAGAACAGGAGGTTGTTAGGAGGAGGACGCGGCGGCTGGGCAGCCATGACTCCGGGGCAGGCCGCCCGCGGCCCGACGCGGTGACTAGAATTTCGGTGCGGCAGAGACGCGCCGGGCGGCCGGCTCAGCTTTGCGACTGACTGAAGGCGTTCCGAGTGACGAAGGCGAACACAAATAGAACGGGCGCAAGCGCGAGGAGGTCGCCGTCTCTCGCGCACATCTTCACGGGCGAAGGCGCACGCGCACTCGCAAGCCAAACCCGTCCCGCGTGTAATCCCAAACAGGCACGCTGACGTTTTACGCTTTATTCTGGTTCCGCACTTTGCTTACGAGGTGCAGTACGTATTGTGTCTTAAAAGTGAAGGAGAGACAGGTTTACGGGTGGACATTACTATGAGGTAACGGCGAGGATAGGATTTTACGAGTCGCACCATCCTTTCGCACATCCTCATAAATAAAAGAAAAGAAACAGGAGGACTCACCTGTTCAGGGGGTGAACGTGGCGAAGACTCGTCGCGATGGTGTCTCCTCCGTCTATGTGATGTAGGCGAACGCCGGTGATGTGACCGTTTAGAACGTTCATTTCTCCGCCTCCACGAGTGCTCCGAGCTGTGAAATCATCGATCGAAGGACTGTAGGGTTAGTGAGTAGGACATGGCAGTGCAATGTATGCAACGAACGTTTAGGTGAGGTCCGTGTGTAAGCAAAGTTTTGCCGAAGTTTTACTAACGTTGGTGAGCGTTTTCCATGGGCAGAATGTGGATCTATCAGGTGTGAGAAATGGTCGGGTGGCGGCAGGCAGCAAGCGCTCAGGAGCGCCCGCAAGGCAGCCCACCGCCTTTGCCCCGTCCCTAACTGTTTGACGGTGCCCTATCTCTATAATTGTTCCTTTGACAACTTGTGAAATGTCGCATACTTATTAGTTATTACGTATTCCTATTTCCTCAAATACGAACAAAAATTTATCTAAAATAAATACTGTGATTACCGCACCCTACAATTACGTTAACACACAATCCTAATATCTGCGGTTAAGCCTTCACAGTCAAGGTCACTGTAACATTAATCACTTTTTATTCGAGCGTTACTAGAAGCGATAACACATGAAGCGGGGAAATTTAAACTATGCATGTAGTAAAATGTGTTTAAATGTCTGAGCAGCTGTTTGGTGACAATCGTGACTGGTAAGCCCGCGAGAACCCGGCGCGAACTGCGGTCGCCGACACACTGCCAGCTTTGTCAGCTCGTCCGTGAACAAGATACCGGCTCAAGTAAAGCGGCGTACAATCAAGTGTTCATTTCAAAACACCGCCGCCCGCCGTCACAACCTAACAAGCGAACAATCAAACCTCACGTCATTGGCACAATGTCATCGTCTATGAGAAATCACCGCTCGATTGACGTTTGTATACTTTGACACAAATTATAGTAAATTCATGGCAACATTTTGTAATACATTGCGAAAGATAATTTGGCTAAGTAAATGATATTTAATAACAAACTTAACTATGTATGACTTACCAGCAAACACGAAAGCTTTGTGGGCTATTTATTAAATTATGATCAATATACGTAAAACTAGCGCTCTTTTCGCCCATTTTTGAAAGGACCATTATAGAGAATAAAGCTTAAAATGCAAATACTGTATTAAGCAAAATAAACTTAACACCAGTAAGAACCAACTGAAAATAACATAAGAATACTGAACGACGAACGCTAGCTCAACTAATAGAATTAAATGTACGTAATTGGTTTACCTAGTCGCAGTGGAGATAAATATGTATACGCAGAAGATAATGCAGAAAATAGATTACTGTTACTATACTGTACATCGTAAAGATAAATATAAGTTACATTTTAAAGATGGGTCATTAATAGACATCTAGCGGCGAGTAGTGGAATTACTACATATGAGAAAGCTGAGCGAAATATTGTGTCGCGCTTGTTCACAAAAGAATTTACGTTTAATTATAATTCTTGACAATATCATCACAATTATTCACATAAAGCAGTCAACATGACGCGGTAAAACAGAAAGTATGTAGTGAGTGCGCTGGAAGCAGAAAAAATGTTCTAATTGCGGAGTGACTTAATTTATTTTTGGACTAGATATGTATAACCGGAAAGTTTGTCTACCAGACAAATATCGATGAGAGAAACATGTTAGTTTTTTTATTTACTTAGTTAGATTCATTGTGAAATATTAAAAAAAAATCTATAATTATTCACATAACTCGGTTGAATGTTTAGCATACGGAATTTGGAGTTTTACTGACTGGGGAAACCATTTTTTTGTATTTCGCATATCTGTTGCAAACCAACTTTACCCTAGTCTTCCCGTAGCAGATGTTGTAAGAGTCGACTAAGATCGGGCAGCAGGCGTACTCTGATAATCATAATCCTTTTAAATTGTGATCTCCAAACCGCTTATCAAGCGTGGAGAATATGGCAAAACCCTCTTTTAAAGACTGCACACTTGGTGCGGTGGCTGTTCAACCGGCTGCCGTGCAACGTGTCGCGGGTTCGATTCCCGCACGGAACAACACTTTGCGTGATCCACAAATTGTTGTTTCGGGTCTGGGTGTGATGTGTATGTGAACTTGTATGTTTGTAAAGGTACCCACGACACAGGAGAAAATCATAAAGTGGGGCAAAGTTTTTAAAAAAAAATAAAAATAAAGAGGAGATCTAGCAGTGGAATCCACGGGCTGTTAATGATGAATCAATTTAGCAATTTCTTTTTTGGTCTGTCAGGGGAATTTCTTTAAAACAGTAAAATGGAAAATAGACAGACTGAATGAAACCAGGGCGGGGTGAAAAGCTTGTTATTAATAAAAAAATAGCATAATGTGTATTTCGTAGCTCTAAAATAAGGTAGGAACTTACTATGGTAACTATCTCGATGTGTCGATTTGATTTGGTTTACGAAAATTATTAAGAATAGCAGTAAGTCTAGAAGTATCAGAAGAAGAATCATCATAAAATAAAATAAGTTTCAGGTACAATACATGTTGTTATGAGAGACAATTGCTGTGATTTTATTATTGAAAGGGTTTGAAAATCTTTCTTTTGTACATAAAACATACAAAGCAGTAAAGGTATACGACATAATGTAAAATTAAATTCCTTAAACAGTTTGTGTAGCGTGTCGTTAAAGCCCGAGCGCGGGCGCAGACGAAGTGGACTGCGTGGGCATCGTTCATATCTAGAGCTTAATGTCACATTGTTTAGCGCCATACGACAAGTTGAACTTGAAAACTTTATTGTTTCTAGGCTGCGAGCCTTCGCAATCACATGTTAAGACCATATGTTAAACATACCGCTGTCAATTTAATTTGTAGTTTTTCATTTAATTAATATATATTAATACGTGCATATAAGTATAAAGCAGGAGTATTTTTTTGATTACTTAATTACACTTTATTCGCAAATGTAAATGGGGTTTTAATGCTGTGTAAATATTAAATAAAAAATATTAAATGGTTCCAACCATTTAATATTTTTTTCGGTTGGTCTTTTGGGGTTCACTTAGGGTCAACAAAAATTATTACTTATACGAAAATCCGTAACTAAGATAACTTAATTTTGTACGGATTCCGGTCCATGTATTAACATAAACCACTATAATTAATATTGAGTAGGTGAACAAGTCGCAAAAGCATCTGAATTATCTGTAAGTAAATCAGAGTTGTACATACTTTACAGGCATTAGCAATAGTAATTGAAGCCTAGTTTTAGTTTTGTTTTACTATAATGAGTTCGGCTACACTGTACATTTAGTTTGATAGAAACTTTACTGTTTCTTGTAAGCGGGACAACGTTGTGTACCTACTAATTTTTTGTTTCATTTTCGCTGACCCAGATTATTTTCGAACAAACAGGTTTCGAAAGTGATTTACTATAGCACAATTAAGTTAGGTTACTGTGTAATTTGTGTGTAATTCTATAGTTTAATAGAAGAATGACAACCTATTCATACAGTTAAAGTCGGTCATTATCATAGAATCACAGGCACAACTATCATTTGGATATTTTCTCATATCCATTAAAAGGCTTTGAAGTTATTTGCAAGGTTTTATTAGGTATGTGAATAATAAACTTCATTGAATTCCTTTCTTCATAAAGACATACGAGGTCGATATATTTGCCGTCAAGCGCTGAGATTGCCGAATGTCAATGACAACCATATCGGTATGGTTTATTAAATCTTCGGCTTCCTATTTTGGTCAGAAACAATAAATTTGAATGTTATTTCTTTTATTTTATTTTTAAACTTATCAGTTTATTGATTTTAACTTAATTTCGAATGGCATGCCATTAAATAGTATCTTGAAAAAGTAGCACAATATATTAAGTTGGCTGTCAATATATTAAATTCACTAGCACTGTGATCGTAAACGTCGTGAGTATCGAATGATTGCACAACGTGTGTCACTTTTATTTAAAGAAGGCACTCGATGGTGGTATCAATGTTCAACAAAGCGACTCACGTCACACGACACGGTCTCCGTCGCGAATAACAAACACCGGAACATTCACTTTCGACGAACAACGACATAACATTATAGATTCGAAGCCTTAATGTAGGCATTCACATGTGTAAGCTACTCGGAAACCGGCTATTTCATAAAACTCTAAAACCAGTGTGACCAGTACCCAGACGTCACTGACATGACACCAAACTTATTTCATTAATTAATAGCATAATATTCGTCTCTCATTAAATATCGTCTGCTACCATTAATTTTAATTGGTCGAATTCCATATTAGGCTTTCTTTCCTCTTGGCTGGATACCGGCAGTCGAGGACTCTTTAATTACAGTCTGAGGTGGTTGTTGAAGGTGAAAGCGAACTTGGTCGTAATTTGCGAGTCGTGTTATGTGTTTATGTCCTCACAATGTGTACTTTCGGTTCCACGGCGACCAGCTGACTTGTAATAACTATATTTGTCAATATTTGTAGAAAATCTGATGAGAAAGTGAGTTTATCTCTGAAGGCCGGTTTTGTTACATATGGTTCTTACGTACAACTTCCTCCGCTTTCAAGTTATGTTTAGTGCCCTTTAAGTTACAAGTACCTTGAATGCGAGGCGTAACAATGTTAAGGAAATTCAACTAATACGTTTGATGGAAAAGCGTTGAAAGGAAACATTAATTTGCAACGCGGTCAATTTTCAAGTAACAACGGTATTCACACAACGGTTCTTTATATTTTAGAAATACTCAACATGTGTATCGTATTGAATCATCTCTTTTTGTTTCACTGGTATTTATTAGGAATTTTACTTTCGTCGACCCTGTTTAATGTGTGACTCAATTTAATTATAAGAAAAATCACTATTAGGTTAGAAAATTAGCACAAACAACGAAGTGTACAAAGGTCAGAGAGCTAACGGAGCACGCAAAATTGTAGCGAGAGTGGAACGCCTTTGGCACAATGACCATAATCGATCGGTTGGTCGGTGCACACTGCGGGCTTGGTTACGAAATCGAAAGCCGAAGTCGGCAACGTGACACGAACAAGTACCCGGTCAAGGATCCACAGCATGACAGTCGAAGCACATGATGTATACCCGTTTCAGCCTTTCAGTAGTCAAGTACATTGTTTTACTCGAGGAACTCCGTCCCGTCCATTTAATATGGTCTACTAGTGATAAGTCACAACTAAATCATAGCATACCAGAAGAGTGGGTTCTCGGCACTCTGACAAGGCCGCGCCGGATGAGCGATTACTGTGAACCGTGTCAACGCTGCAGCCACGACTAATCACCCGCCCGCACCGCTTTTCGTCGGGTCAATGACAAGCAAAACTAAACGCGTCGGTCTTTATAAGTAAGAGAAATACGAAAACTGACACTATTTTAGTTTCATTTACACATAGAGTAAAATACTATTTTGGACACCGAATACCCAGTGAGGAAAACGGCCTTAATTTATTCTAGTTCATAGGTAAATCCCTAATACATTATGTACAGAGTACGTTGAAACACACCGGAGCTCGCCTGAACGCGTAACCAAAAACCATTAGCCATAATTAGAACACCGAACCGCCGATAAAGAAAAGTTACCTCGTCATGAAAATGGATAATTGCGGATTTGTATCTTCAATTTTGATACATTAATTTATGCATGAATTAAAGTTGAAACAAACACAATCATGTGAGCAGGTAGGTATTAAATATTTTATTCACTGTTGACATCTCTTTCCAAAGTATTGGATGAGTCAGCGATAGACATTTTTTTTAAATTAGCTTGCATTATAAAAGGTACACCATTCCGTGAATTCCAAATGGATAACTCAGACAACGAAAGATGAAATATTTGATTATTTTATTTATGTAAGTATAATTCGTGTATGGCTAATATGTCTAGCTTTTTATTAATATTATTGGTTGATTATGTCAATTCTTGAGAGAATTACTTTAGATGTAATGTAATTAAATGGTTTGTGTAAGATCAATAATATGTTATTAGTAGGGTTATACGTGCGTATTTTATTATTGAAGAAGTCAGACTGTTCAAGTAGTCTGTAGTGAAAGTTCAACAAAAACCATAGCCGTGTTTTGGTTATCTACGTGAGCAGGAGACTAACTATCTTCCTTTAACATTATCAGTCAAGACGCCAAATAGTTACGAAATTAAATCATTACTTAACTCTTACAATGTGTCCGCAGTTTTAAATATTTTAAGTTTCCCCTAATTTTATAACACGTAAAATACTATCGAAATGGTAGACATGTCTGTTCTATGTATTTTTATTTTTACCGGCAATTGAGCATTTTCTCTGTCTGATGTGTTTTTGATTACTTGGTGAATGCTTTTTCAGTTGTTCAAGTTGATAAATTATGTTAGCTGACGAGGGCTATTTTCGAGCTATATTCGAAGTTGATTTTGCGCTTGTTATTATTTGATCAGAAAATTCTAAAATCGTCAATCGCTTTCCAAAATATATCTAATGCAATTAAACGCAATAATTTTTGAGATCGAAAGGATCTTTTGGTTTTAAATGGTTTAAAATTTTGAAAACATGATTGAAAGGAAAACGTACAACCGTAACAAAAAATTGATATACTTTATTTTACTATAACCACCATGTTTTCCACTTTCTCTCTCCATAACTCGTGATATTACATTATTAGATTACTAACTGATAATCCAGTATTATCGTTCCGAGTACAGGAGGAAGGAACAAAAATATGTCTTAGTTACGTCATAACGCCTACCAAGTTGACAAATCCTTTGCGAGCACAAACCAGGACAGGACCTTGAAACATTCACTGAGAACGCTATCGAGACGAATCTTTTAAGCTATGGCTATGCCTGGCGCCCACGAAATTGTAGTATGTTTATTTATTATGTTAAATGTTTGTATATATATAATAGCCAAATTTACCTAATATAAATACTGACTTCGTTATATACAATGGCTTTGTACTGATTTACGTATGTGACATATTGCGAGATAATAGCGCAAGTGAAAGAACCGTTATTCGACCTGAAAATAATAATTACGCGTCTATGTAAACGTGCACAAATGGAGGCCACAATCGGGCAGACGGTAGATTCAATATCAACACTAAGATGGGTTTACAATTAGTGTAAGTGGTTTTCTATCATATCATAGGTACTTAGTAACCAAATGGCGTTAATGAGCAAAGAGATTAAGCAACCGCTAGCAGGATGGAATAAAGCGCAACGATGGTGAGTCACGGTGAGTTGTGCAATAATTTTGCACAACCACTCCTCAAGCCCTCACCACTACAGCCATACTTCAATATAACGAGCTAGCATAAAAAAAATGTATCAAAATAATGTATTTTATGTTTAGGGGTCATGGCCAGTAAGCAAAAACTGGTAAAAACAATTACAATGTCATAGAAACAGTTAGCGAATTCTCAGTAAACCGTACAGTAACGGTACATACGTAATGTCTGCGAAATAAGAATGGTTGTCGAGTATACCGAATGTGATACAGATAAGACTAATTTAACAAAAATTATGACACATCTAATGGAAAGGAAAAGTTTTGGTCTAGTTTCTACTTAACCGGAATCTGAATATAATTTGTAGGTTGGCAAACTGTTACGTTGAGGTACGACCACAATATTACCTACACGTACATACGTTCATATCATTCGTGTAATGGTTAAATGGTTGTAAAATATCTCTGTTGACAAATACGAAATATAAAAGCCTACTCAAGTGCTCACGCTGCACTCAGACCGGATCAGAGCAAGTCGATGCACTCGAGCTACCAACTGTGCGCTAGCTTTTTTCCTATTTATAAGCGCATGGAATAAACTCGGTTTCCAACATGTTTAGCATGGTATATACTTCGGCACGCTCATTACGAACACACAAAACCAAGGTTTAAATAATCTGTGAAATTAAAGGTATGGAGTATGTTAGTATGGGACATTGTGTTGGATGTTGGTACATACGAAACGCTCCACTCGTGGTCGCGCATGTTCTTCTGGAATGCGGCTGATTTCGGTGTCCAGGAGTCTACACCCCGGTAGAGAGCGGGTAATTCAGCCACCTTCACCTCGAGACGTTCGGCTAACCTCTGTTCAACGATCGCCTTAGGACCGCTCGTCAAAGGCCGCTGTTGCTCTTTTGCACTGCGCCGTTCCAAACCACCGTATCCATTTAATTTCTCTCCGTTGCAAGACGTCACGCTTTTGGGGCTATCTGTGCTGAGCAATTTGCTTTTAACGGTGTCTACCTTACCGTAATTTTTATATTGTACTGATTCAGTTCCGTTCGCAGTTCGCGAATACTTCAAAGAATCGTACGTGTCGCCGTTTAGGCTGCTATATTCGAGATTGTTCAGGTTGATGTCTCTATCGACTCGTTTAGTCGTTGCATCGTACCCATTTCGTTTGCTATAGCGTTCCTCGTGGCTTTGTTTGAGGAAGTTATTTTCGAAACTAGTTTTACATTTAGGAACATTATTTAGGTAATCGCTATAACTTAAATCTTTATTGTGTAAACCTTTATCACAGCCCTTTTTAAGTGTTTCTTGTATATCGATACCGTTTCCATTAACACGGCTGTATGTAAAGCTAGCAGGCTGGCCACTATCAGTTCTGTTGTCGGCAGTCTCTGTTCGTTCAGCATCCTTGCTCTCGAATTCGTGTTTGGCAAGTGCAACACGCGATACGTCGCCGTTGACGCCGTTCTTGTACTGTGTCTTGCCGGTGAAATCGGCCGCAGTGATGCCAACTCTGCTTTGTTCAGTAGGCACGGTCCACGTGTCGTGCTTTTTCTTTTCACTGCTCTTGGAAGACCACGCCTTTGCCAGTGCAGCTTTAAGTGCTTCCCGCCGCTCGTGCACGCTGACCCTCGGGTACTCGTGTATAGGAACAATAGCGGGAGCGTACAGAGTCGACCGTGGTGTGGCTCGCGTTATGCGGAAACTTCTGAACTCCCTGTTGAACTCCGAACTCAGAGAATAAGCCGGTATTCTCGAAGTCACCATTTTGAGATCAAAATTTCCAGTCAACAGTCATAAAAACTTATTATTCTTCACAATAAAATATATTTTAGCACAGAGCACACTGAACACATATCGACTCTACCTGTAAATAACATTGCGAGTGTAAAGTGTTGAACTAATGATAATGGTAGAAGGGTGTAAGTAAGACATTAGTGTGTTGTTTTCACGTGTATTTGTATTCGATGCAAGTCGTGGTCGTGTCGGTGGGCTGTGGGCCGCGACCTTCGCGGTGGGCGGCGCGCGGCGGAGCGGCGGGACAACGCACTGGTCAACGAACCGCCCCGTGCGCCATCGCTCAGCTTACCAGCCTGCTTGCATAACGCACTCGCAAACGGCTGTCCGCTGTCCTACCTTATCTCTTATGCAGTTATACGTCGATCACTTCGACCGCACGCACATTATAACAAACTTAAAGAAATAATAAACGAGAGTGCCATTTTAATATTTATGATAAAGTAATATATTAAACGGCAGACGAGACGTCACCAGTTTTGTAGAGCATTTATACCGTATAAGTGCAACAAGTGTCGCCTTGGTCGGCGTCCCTAATAAGGCTAGTGGCGTTGCTGCCATATGGCCCGCGACCGACACATCCTAGCCTGTCTCCACTCCAGCTGCTCCGATATCAACGTATCGTTGTTCAAACATGTTTTCTGGGGCAACACTTTATGACAGTTATTTATTATGAGATAGATCTGTTGGTATTGTTTATTAGCATAGGATTGTGTTTGACAAACTAAGACTTTGATCTTATGTGCAGGCATACACAGGCTGTTTGATTTTGACGTTGAATAATTAACATAATTTAAATTCAAACGGGTATAACGACATTATTATGTTGTAAAACAATAATAAGACTTCTTTATTGAATACATATCACGAGATAACAACACACAATGTTTATTAATGTATTAATGCGATTAATTGTTGTGATATCCAGGAAAAACAATAGAGCGACACTTTTATCATTATTATTTAGTTCAACACATTTTCGCATAGCACTGAACCGATATCACTGAGTATAAATATATAAACACTTTACAAGACACAGACGCGATCGGTGGCTGCAGCAAACTAAACGGCATAGAGCGCAGGATATTTTACATAGCGAATAAAACCAGCTTTAGTGACACAACACTACGTCCGTGTAGCGTAGGACAGAGGTAGTATCAGTTGTTGGAAGGAGAGCAGCCACCGGAAGCGAGTGCGTTTCGATAGCGACGGTGGCGGCGGAGCCGGTCCGTGCATACCTTCTCGTTGCGAGCGCGAGAACTGCGTGCGGTGTGCGTGCACCGCTGCGACTAAACTGACTGAAGGGAGGCAAAGCGCGGCGGCCCGATGCGAGGACCCCACCGCTGCCGCCGCCTCTCTCCTGCGGTCCACCACTAGTGACTCTATCGCGAGAGCAGTACGGGCTGAATCGCAGGAGCACTGACCTTCGATACAACAACGACGAGATGCCGATACACTAGCGACTGCCGAGCTCGAGTGCACGCTTGCATCCGACCGACCGACTGCACTATTCCACTACAACTTGCAGTAACAGTTGCCAACGAAGAACCGAACTAAATGCACGAATTCACAAGTTTAAAATTAAAATTATATCCTCTTATTGTGGATTTATAAGTTAAAATTACGTAGCATTAATAGCTGTTTGAGTAAATAAAAATATATTTCCTATTTAAGTTCCCAGCTATGGGTAATAAGTAAATAAATTATAATTTAAGGTTGTCGTGAAATGTGTTAGTAATTTAATAATGGGTAATGAATCTAACGCCAACCTACAAAGTGTTGTATTTTGAGTACAGTACTTGATTGCATTTCCTGGCCTTGCATAGTAGAACATGTGGGATCTCACCTTAAACGTTTCGTTGCACGCGTTATAATGGATAATTACCTGAAACAAGAAATATTTTGTTAATAACACTGCGGTTTTAACCTTGTCAAAAAAACGTTACGATAGTTACGATAAAAACATTCAATGAAAAAAAAATTATGATCACATCAAGCCAACCGGGGTACAGAAGGTTAAGTTGATTTCGAAACAACTTCACTTTAACTGAAAATAATTATGTATTTGGGCCACAGTGAAAAAATATAACTAGCAGTATAATATGTATAGGAACTTAATAAGAATTAAATTACAATCAATAGAATTATGAAGAATTATCTGAAATGGGCAAATTTTTTGTTCCAACATAAAATTGGTTTAGATTGTTTGTTCTATAAACGAGTCATAAACATAAATTTCTTTTTCAGGCATCGTTTTAAAAGTTATCTGTATTTTAATTGATACATTATGAAATCAAACAGTTGAAACTGGAAAGTAAACAAGTTAGGTAACAAGGCGGTTCGCGGTTGTATAATATTAATATTATTATTTTACAGTTAGATAATGTTAGGATTAAGTCACAAAGTCTTACAGGTTATTATATTTTTCGTTATAAAATATCTACAGAAGCCAACACGCACGTACCTCTACAATAAAACAATATCGGGTTGCATTTTTTGTTGACTTGTGCCGCCCGGGCTGAAGATTTTGATCTTATAAACTGTTAGAAAATCATAAAAATTTAGATGTCCAGTGAACAATTAAATCCCTAAGTCCTGTTCAGGACCATTCCTTCCATTCTTTAATGGAACCGAGCCTTTGAAGTAAACTTGTTGTAAACCTATTTTACTCAAATAAATTAGTATCAGATACTTCGTGGTCCGTATGAAAAGAGTGGGTTTGATCCTTTCCAGGTTACCAAATACGGGAGAAAGTCATAGAGATGGTAATGAAAACAAATTGAATTATAGCCTGTCGGTCGTCTTGTGCATAAATTATTACTGCCTACGGTTTGTAACTAAGAAACATAAAATTCAGAGAACATGTTCGAGAGAGTAGAGAAATAAAAATTGAACCGACTTGTTTCCTTGTGATTGAATTTCGGAGCGTGCATAATAATGGACAGTATTGCCATGATTGGACTGTCTTAAAATTTGCTTACCCTAAAAGCACCGATACATAGTAAACATATTTAATGAATATTATAGTGACACGGTCCGTTTAATATTTATTTATGTGTGAAACAAACATGGCCTAGACTGGAGCATTATTGCTTATTCAGTGGTGATGTGTGTCACTGCCAACGATTATGCGCTTGTATGATTTCATTCCCCTTAGGGCTTAAAGCTTTGCAACATTTGCTTGGCCTTTATCGCGCATATAGTGTAAATAGTTAGATAGAAATAGTTCCGAGATTATCGATCTATTTTAGCAAAATGAACAACATTCACAAAGAATTGAAACTTTTTCGATTTAGGAACATTCAAGGAAAGCAATACTCCATCAGAAATGTTATCTAAGATGACTCATCTGTTATCAAAATCTGACGCAACACACGTTACTATCTTTAAATATTTATAATTATATATGATATCAAGGTAATTTTGGTTTTTATTCATTATTTTCTTGTAAATACTATTAGTCAAGTCATTACTAATACATGTTAAGTAAGACACCGTTAGGTATCTCCCATCCTACACAACATTGTTTGTACGCACCCTCAATCAAACAATATCCGTTACACAGCAAGAAGAAAAATACGAAATTGATGATGAGAATTTACATATACGCGTCATCAGTAAAAACACTGTTCGACCTGTGATTGTAGGCGACCACGTCACTCAGTACAATTGGTGGCACGTAAATGGTGGCAAAAAATAATGACACCGGAGGCGGCGCTGAGTAGCCGACAAACAGCGAGGTCCAATGACCCAAATGGTTCATTACTAGGCCGGCTAGACTAACTAACGAAAGAAAAATCTACCGCCGCCAAGCGCAACGACACGCTGTCGCTTTTTCTCAGTATGGATAGCTGCAACGTCAGAAGCTACCCGGCTGATTGTCAATTAGTGTCAATTGATTTAATCTGATTTCTAGACATTGAACCCCTTCTAGTATCAAAGTAATTGGGTCTTTTTTAATAGTGTAGACGGAAATGACGAAGCTAAATCATGCACCAGACTTCGTAGTTAAAATATTTATTGTCTGTTAAAGGTAAGGAAGGTCGATAAGCTAATCCACTACCCCCGTGGTTGATCTTTACAAGTAATAATCCGTGAACATGTGTATTAGTCGAGTGTTTAAGTGCCTCGGTGCTAGCAATGACCACAGCGAATTAATCCGACACCATAAATGGAGCTACAGCAGAAACCTGATCAAGCAGACACGAGTTTGAATCCAACAAACACCAATCTAAATTACATATCAAAATACCGACCATAAATAGACTTCCTGGAGTTATGGGATTCAACGCCACTACTTGATTATTATTGTTGTTGTGTATAAGCGTGAGTAAGGAATTATTTTATACGTGAATACTATACTAACTACAGTTATTGTCTGTTTATAGTACAGACTCTCTTCGGAGGCCAAGTATTTCAAAAAATAACGCAATCTTAACTGAGTCAAAACTAACGGTCCTCATTAATCATTGGGGTCAAACAACTAACCAGGTACGAGTATAACAGAACATTACTCGATATTGATTCGTCATCTTTCATTAAAGTATTTGTGGGATTTATGTCGTTCCATTTTCCGTAAAATTTTCCGGTTGTCCGTAAGTCCAGTTATGTACAATTTACATGTTAAATAACATGTGCGCACTAGGAAAACAAAGGATACTCATTAGTTACAGACACTAATTATAAACCACAACCGATAATAAATGCGTCAATTGTGGATTTGTTAGCCCTATTCCAACAGGGGTTTTTTTTAATTACAATACACTATATATTTATACCTCTCGTGCGTATATTATATACAATAATGTATTAATAAATTAATATCATACTTAACGTAATGAGAGTAACCGTATCTGTGTGTAGGTATTTAGAGTTTTATTAAGTGTTTCATTTGCCCTACATTCATCTATCAACATAAAATACATCTTAACTTCCATTAATTTTACCAATTCTGAATGGTTATCATAAAG